GCGTAGTTGGCTCCCTTAGTCGGCTCTTACTACACCCACGGGATGATTAGGGGTGGTGACACTCCGTATACCTAATCCGACACAACACGGATACGACAGACAGATTGTATTAGTTAAATTTTGACATTTTAAAATAAGTTGTCACAATAAATACAGTAGGCTTCAAAACAGTAAATATAAGTTATTTGAGCTATATTTACTGTTTTGACCGTATTAATATTTGTATATTATTTTTATTTCGTTCTACTTAAAATTTCTTCAAGATTCATGTGTGAATTCGTTGTTAGAAGAACAATTTTTTGATTTTTTTATCATTTAAATCTAAGATTACGTAAATATTGAAAGGAAAGACAGCAACCGTAGTAAATATTTTGAACACAGTACATATGATACAGCACTCGTATATTTCTTAGTTTGAAACAATATAAGAATTTATTATTATTATTCGGTGTAACAACGGTTTCGCTTTCTCTGTTTGTCATTTGTGTCATCTACGCAATTCTTCTACGTTCAAGTAAATAAAACTAATCATATATAAGCACAGCAGGATTTCAAGTTTTATAAATTGTTACAAATTTTAATTTATATTATAATACTGTACATGATTCTATAATGCAAATTACTGTTTGGTTAGCATTTAATAAATATTTGTTATGAAGTCTATCTTAGCCTCAAATATTTAATTAAATTCATTGTGGGAAAGAAGTTATAATTATACCACGAGACCGAGAGCCTTCTACAGTAAACTTTATCAGTGGGTTTTGATTTTCATGACGTTTCGACCAGAGGGAAAATCTCGTATCTCGTAATTACGCCGTTGTGCCAATGCTTTGTATGAGATTCCTAAGACTATAGAAACCATTTTAATACTAGAACTAATGATATTAAATACAAACATGGCCTATAACTAAAACTAACTACATTCTTTAACTACATTACATTAAGATTAAAATGTAATAAATTAACCTGTAAAAAAAGCAAGATCAATGTTTTGTCAACAATTATAATTTTAGATTTTAATATATATAAATAAGATACGGCGTAAATTCTCAAACATTAGAGTATATTATTGACATAATGATATGGTCGTATGTGTACCTGACTACCGAGTTCATACTTAGTCGTCATTAAGAGGACCCGACACATGTCTGATATTCTGTTCAGTGATTTTGTCTGTTTATAAACTTTAGTTCAAAACTATCTTGAATAAAAAGTGATTTTCAGTTTTCCAAGTAAGATTCCGTTACAAATATCGCTCGGTTTTTATCTTCGACAATTAATAAAGCAATTACCTACCTATACCGGTCTTGCCCCTTTGGAAATTTACCGAACATTATCAGATACTATTGTTGTAGTAATATGTTTGTGTTTTAGTGCGTAGTGTACTATTAAAATGTTTATAGTAATAAATTATTTATAGTAGTTGAGGTGTATAATGTCGCTTACCAATAATTTATTCCTGATTACAAGATTAACAAGTAGGTATAAAATTTTCTAATTTATATGAAGTATTTCGGTGTTTCGGTTTTCTAATACTCTATATTGCTTTAAAAGGGTTGGCAGAGGTGTATTTTGTTCCTGCATCAGGGAAGCACTCCACTATCATGGGGTGCCAAAGTACCTGAGGCGGCTAGTGGCAGACTATTTAGAGGAGCGTACCGTCGTGTACGAGGACCGAGATGGTAATTTGAGATGTCGGCCCATGTCGTGCGGTGTTCCACAGGGGTCTGTTCTTGGACCCCTCTTGTGGAACATAGGCTACGACTGGGCCCTTCGAGCCGATTTCTCCCCCGGGCTGGGTGTAATCTGTTACGCGGACGATACCCTGGTGACAGCCCGGAGGGCGAACTTCCAAGAGGCGGCGCGCCTGGCCACAAGGGGAGTCTCCCTGGTGGTCGGGGGCATTGAGGCGCTGGGCTTACGGGTGGCCCTAGATAAGACGGAGGCCCTGTTATTTCATGGGCCCCATCGTGGTCCACCCCCTGGCGCCTCAATCCTGGTCAACTCGGTCCTCGTACCGGTTCGGACCCAGATGAAATATCTGGGCCTGATCCTCGACGGGAGGTGGCTCTTCGACGAGCACTTCCGACAGCTTGCTCCAAAGCTGGTCGGCGCTGCGTCTGCCCTAGGGCGACTTTTGCCCAATTTGGGTGGACCCAGCGTCGCGACAAGACTGTACACGGGGGTTGTCCGGTCAATGGCACTTTACGGTGCACCGGTGTGGGCGGCGGCTCTGACCGCCCAGAATAGGGCACGCCTCTGGCGCCCTCAGAGGGTAATGGCGGTCAGAGCCATACGCGGTTACATGGCATGCGCGTTGGCCGGAACTCCCCCGTGGGATTTGGAGGCGGAAGTGCTCGCCGAAGTTTATCGGCGAGTGGCTGACTCCCGGGCGGAGAGCGGATTTCGCCCTCCGCCCGAGGATGTGCGCGAGTGGCGCGAAGCCGCTCGCCGAGCCACGATGGCTCGTTGGTCGTTCCGGCTGGAGACTCCACGCGCTGGCTTCGCCGCCGTGGAGGCTCTCCAGCCGGTCATCGCCGAGTGTGCAGGGCGGCAGCACGGGACCCTTACCTTCCGGCTGACGCAGGTGCTTTCCGGGCACGGTTGCTTCGGAAAGTACCTGCACTCGGTCGCTAGGAGGGAACTGAGTCCCGCCTGCCACCACTGCGACTCACTGCATCGGAGTGGATCTCTCGCTACCGGCCGTAGTACGCTCCATGGCCGGTAGCGACAGTTGTTTTACCGCGGTCGCCACCTTCTGCGAGGAAGTAATCTCGCAGAAGGAGGCGGCGGAGAAGGCCCGGGAGGACGACCTCCACTCGGACCCTTCCGCTGCCGGCGAACCGGGCGGCGGAGGCGCGCTTATCACCGCCTCATGCCGCCCTGAGTGTGGCCGCGGGTGGACGGGGTGGGTTTCCCCTCCACCAGCATTAGTTTGGCCAGCCGCGAGGGGGCGGCGTCCGCGTGTGCCGGACGTCGCCTAAAGAGAGGAAAATTTTGAGACGGAGCCCGCACCAGGAGCGGGCTGGCGCTAGGAGGGGTCCGGATGTCTTAATAACAGCTGTTCCCGGATCCCTCCTGTTACAGGCGCAGAGTGGCACACCGTGTGGTTTTAGTCGGTCCGAGTCCGACACACCACCCCCCCGCAAACCCCGGTGGGGTGACGGTCCGAGGGGATTTCCACACGTTAAAAAAAAAAAAAAAAAAAAAAAAAGGTGTATTTCGTTCTCCATTACTACGGACTGCTTGTTGATCACACGCAACGGAGAGCGATCTAGCCAGTAATTTCTTAAAGATTGCTACACTAAAAATTGCAGACAGGAAAACCTAAAAACAATTAATGTGGATAGTAGTAGTGTAGTGTTACTCATTCAAATAAATCAACTATTAAAACATTTAAAACAAAATCATCTCTAACTTCCCTTCGTTTTTCTATTTTAATAACATCATCATCAACAGTCTCTAATAGTCCACTGCTGGACATAGGCCCCTCCTTGGAAAGGAGGTTTATATTTAATGATAATTTAAAATTCTTTGGAACGACGAAGTACCGATGACTACTATTTACATAGCAGGGTAATACATCATAGTACTTGTCTCGTGATGATGCATAGCAGATGCTATATTATAAACTTCTTATATGCATAACAACTATCATCTATATATATATAGACGAGTAGAGGTCAGCTAAGAACGGATTTTAAGAAATTCAAAAAAAAAAAAAAAATGTAAATAGCAAAACAACGTTTGCAGGGTCAGCTAGTTTAACATAAACCAAGTAAATAACCGTGTCAGTACCAGTTTTTGGATGATTCTTCGCTCTTAGCTACATTAGGAAACTGTTACTAACTCTATAAATGTATCTGATTCTGTATTTTCACTTACGTGTTGATACCCTATCGCCTTGTTTTAGAGAGAATTAGTAATGGACATGACATACTACATATGTGTGTGGCAGGCGTTTATAGGTCTATTACGATTTCTTACTATTAAGTGTACCGTATACTTATATGTCTTTGCGGCATTTAAAGGCCTCTAAAGAAATTTTAATGTATTACCATAAAGCAGCTGCCTGCGTTTAATACTAAATTTAATAAAAAAAATATAATTAAAAATTTACTTAACATTTTCTAAGTCGAATGCTAATAACATGTCTGTAAAAATTCTATTGAAAAAATTAAATTAATTATTTTCATTATCATCAATTACTTTGTTAACACAGATGTGGGATCAAAACATATGACGTTCGGTTTCCATTTCCAACCAATGCATATTTTTTTAGGTTTAGTTTTTTTTTTATAAAAAAGACAACTCCCGGAGTAGGAATATATCCTGTGTCGCGGGAGACTTTACAAACTGACATGAAACGGACACAAACATCCAGACTCAGAACGACAATTTATGGACTACACAAAGTGTCGTCCTAGGTTATGTCTATTTATATTGGCCTGGGCGTTCCTATGTATAATATGTATATATTGAATTCATAAAAAAAAATTAGGGATAGCAGCTGAGAAGGGCTAACTTAGAAGGACAAGTAACCGGTGAATGAGTATTAAAGATCTGATGAATGTTGTAGCGAGATTACGATGTTTGTGAGGGTCCATGGCATTCCAGCGTATCTGCCTACTCCAAAGGCATGTACAATTTATTGACCAGAAGAAGTTAAGACCTGGGTTAAAATTGCAAGTTATGTATTCTTTACTGAAAGTTTTTTTCTTTTGTTTCAGGTTTGCAAGGAAAACTTAGTAAGAAACGGGTGCAAAAGTTCACCTCAAAAGTAATAGGCAAACGGGCCGTATCCAATGCCTTCTCCGAGACCAACTTTCGGAGCATTATCAGTGGCACCGTAGTCACCTGGACGTGTCGGCATCATTTTAATGGTCACTCTCCCGTTGGAGAAAATAATTTACACGCACTGTCACTTCATTGTTATTAAATTTCTTAACATTTTTTTTATTTTGTAGTATTTATAAATCTATTTGTATTCAATATTAAAAATGACCAAGATATTGAAAGTTGTTGGAGCATCCTGGCTCCAGACCAAGATAAGCTCTTATATTCTTGGCATTCTCGGCGTTCTGGCTATTTTGGCTCTCTTTATGGGACAAATTGAAAGGTTAGTTAACGTATTTTTTTAGTTAAATATTGTATAGTTATATGTTTATTATATAGTTCCTTTTACTTATATGTATAGGTAATTGAAATAGGTTCTTCTAGTTTCTAGTTCTTCTTCTTTACTGCTCAGACTATCAATAGATATCATATTGACGAAATACTGCAATTGGTTTTGTATAGATTAATAAAGTTAGTCAAGTTTATCAAACAATTATCATATCTCTGAAAATGTTTTTCTCCCTGACAGTAAAATGGCACTTAAAAATGCTTGCTTACTCGAGTGATTTCGAATCTGACAATTATTACTAATTTACAATCTTGCGTCTTCACAATTTGAAATAGCGTATTTTGTCCCCATTTACTTAGAATTTAGCTTTAAAACAACATAACATCTATATAAATATTTGGTGATAATCGGAATAAAAGGTAGACAATTATTGCTTTAGAAATAGATAAAAGAGCTACAATGGCTATGTTTCAAAACAATAAGCACTGTAATTGTGTAGTTAACAGTTTCATACAATGTAAGAACGTTTTTATAAACACAAGATTTTTCTCAAACAATTACCATAACATCAATACGGTAGTTGACTTTTAAATCAAACCAGTTACTTTTTATTAAATGCTTATGTTCTTTAACTACTTGTACGAAATAATAATCGTCAAATCATTTACTTTTAATATTTATTTCATTTTATGTACATATGAATACATCGTCAAACTTGAAAATAATAACGATTCTAATTTCTGAGTCTTCTTTAAAACTTAACTTCATGAGAGAACCAATTGCGTCAGCGTTGAATTTTATAGCTTTCGATTTGTAGATGCAAAAACATTTGATTAGGGCGTACTCTAGTAACGTATGAGAGTAGGTATTTGCTTTAATATGCATACAACTTCAGCAAGAGGTTTTTAAACTTTTTTTAAAATAAAGAAAGCAAATTATTTATGTTTTAGAATTCAAGAAGATGGAAATTATGCGGCGACTGTATTTTTCTCAAATAAAACTGGTTATCGAATTGAATACTGGGGACAAAGCAACAATCTGGCAGACATTCCACGAGGTGTAGCTAGAGCGTATTTTAGAATGGATATGGATACTACTGGGTGAGTTTTTATTTATTGTAAAAATCATTTCCTCAACCAAAAACACGTATTTGCTTTTCAAATTTCGTTCTCAGTCCAAAATGTTCTCACTAAAATGTTTAACTTTAACATATTATTCACATGATGTATGTAACTTCATAATGACTTTGGTTGTTATACAGCTGGTCGATTCTAGAAATAGAAACTGATCCTTCATACTCTGACGAATATCAAGCGTATGCCGCGGGCATAGTCGAAGGTGCTCTAACATGGTCCTTGATACACGAACATCAAGAAAATACCATCAGCGCAAAGTGCCAGCCTGTAGAAAGGCAGTGTGATGAGTTTCGGGATGCTTTGTACAAGTCCGTTAACAAATGGAAGGCTTTCGCTGACGAACATGCTGCATCGGATCCTTTCTGGCACCATGTAAGTGTTGCTTCATTTTTACTATATAATAAATTGTATACAAGGGGTCTCAGCTTTGGCTGTACGTAAACCTTTTGGAATAAATGTCCTATGTATCCAGTGTCATGAGATTCTGGAAGATTTTACAATGTCGTTCACAAACCATTCATGTAATTTATTATTTCAGTCCCTGACAGTAAAATTTATCAAAATATACTATAGAAAAGACAATATCAACCGACATTTTCCCAAATGATTTCTCTTCTTATGAACCAAATACATACTATTTATTGTTGACTGATGGTAGTTGGTGGAACTTGCTACACATATTGCATAAAGTCACTTGTATTGTTGCACAATATTTATTTACTAAACTTCACCGGTTTCGATTCACGGCATTTTCAAAGGGTATTATGACAACAACTACTACTAAGTACTTATACAACCATATACTTATATACATTTCAGGTGAAATTATACTACACACAAATCAATGGCATGTGGACTGGATGGAAGTATGGAGTTGAACGCAGCTCGAAGCCTTACGATACTGACATCTCAAACTTGTACTGGCTAAATTTTGTCAACGAAGCCGTCGAATTCCAAAGAAAACTAAACATCTCTTTAGGGGGGGATTCTATTGAAAAGCTTCCAAATTTGGGTAGTGCCTTTTTGCGAGTAGTTGATACTATGGCTAAAGATGGAACCCCAACCAAGAAATTATACTTATCACACAATGCTGCTGGAAAGTATTCTTCTATGACTCGTCTACTGAAGAGATACAAACTGAACTATCACAAGACAGCAAAAAGTTCTGAGTTGGTTTATGGTACATCTGTTGCCTTCTCTGGCTACCCAGGATCCATCACTAGTCAGGACGAATTCTATATTATAAACGGTGAAAATCATAGAATGGCCGTAACAGGCACAGCTTTAAGGAATTATAATTCAAAGCTTTGGAAAGACGTCAGCATTATGGATCAAGTAAGTAGCGGTTACCTTAACCGTTGAAATAAACATTACACGCTTATGTGATATGATTTAAGTGTAAAACAAGAATCTGTAAAGAAACATGAGTGAGCTATGTATTTTTTTATGAAAGAAAAGTGTTTAATAAACAGCATAAACCCGTCAGTGAAATAATTATCTATCCAAGATATCTATGGATCGAGTTCAAGGCAAACTTCAGTCACTAACATATTTGGTTTGAGTTGAATTTCTCATTCGTATTCCCTCTTTTTCCTATTCTCTTATATTCAATATTTAAGAACTGGAATAGTCAGTAAGTAGGTATTATTATTTTACATGTGTTAACATCTCCAAAGTTTACGATACAGCTACGACAACAAAATTGACAAACATTTGATATTTAGTCATTAGTTACACGAGTACCCATCTAAAAGAATGGGTGAATAATAAAATAAATGATATTACTAAAATATTTACAGGTACCTGTAGGCCCCCGTATCGTAGCAGCTAATCGCCTAGCCACAAATGTGACTGCCTGGGGACACATACTGGCGAGCAGTAATTCTGGCACCGCCAGCAAACAATGGCTAGTGGTGGACTTCAACCGATTTGATCATCTGCACACCCTCGTGCCACGGACTGAAATTAAAAAACCACCACATCATGAGATTCTTTTCAAGAGTACTGTAGACAAGTGAGTCAGAATTTTACATGTTCAATGCTACTACTTTCGGTAGAAAATTTTGAGACAATGTTTCCCCACTCGAATAGAATCCTCCTTGTCCTAATATTTTCAGCTTGGGTCTCCTGTCAGAGTACTTTCTGTTTGTTAGGGTGACAGTTCTTAATGTTTCCTAAATGCCTAGTCGTTACTTATTAAATAGCTCAGTTCTCAGACTAACCACACGTGAACTAATTCAAAGTCCTATCTTAAGGTTCTAGGCCGCTAGCCGAGAACTCACTTTATTTACAATGATTTTAGAATCATTTCTTTACCTATTAAAGTAACAAAGTAAACTATACAAGGTTGTGATCCAACCAAATATAAATACACAAAAAAATGGAATATTATTGCATAATTTTTACACGCGCTATAAGGAATTACTTACATTAAACTTTGATAAAATGTTGTTATCTGAACAAGGCTTACCATAACCAATGCCAAGTTTTTACCTTACAAATATATATACCTACATTACAACTAAATGAAAATGTTGAAATTATATTACGCAGACACAAAATTAATGATAATTTTATAATATAATTCACGTCTCTAATTGAAAGTAAGGGAACAATATTATTTTGTTACCTACTAGAGACTAGATTGATTGACCGTATCATTTATTGCTTCTTCTTTATTCTTTGATTTTTACTTATCATAATTGTTTTTATTAATTTTTATTGAAGTATATTTGGCGTTACACAGGGATGTCAGACACACAGTGGTGTTCCGGCACAGTAATGGTCATTCCAAGGGTCTAGTCGCACTTATCGAGCAGGTACCAGGCCTGACACACGCCGCTGATTTATCTGACGCATTCCTCGAAAAAGGCTACTGGACAACATTGGGATTACCGTTTTTCAAAGTAAGAATAACCTTCTGTTGTTGTCTTTGACGTTGATCAATGTTAGCAAATACATATTTGCGTAATGAATTAATTAGTTCCTGTCGGCTTTTTTTTTAAGGTGTAAAAGAGTTATGCATACTTAAATGACGGAACTGCCCTTGTAATGTAAATATAAAAGAAATAGTAGTTTTTTTTATGCATAACTAAGTCAATTATGACTAGGAACTGTATAATCAAGTGTGACAAGCGATTGATACATAATTGCAGCTTTAGTCTGAGTTTTTACTTAGACTTTACATCTTTGATTTTGACGGACACATTTCTTGACATCTAATTTCTTCTTCTTTCGCCGAGCCTTTTTCGTTTTTTACCAAACCCAACTCAACAAAAACCCAAGTACTAGGCGATATCAAAGTTCTGTAGAAAGACTTCTCAGACTTTTAGGGTTCAACTACCCATAGCGATCACCAAAGATGTTCGTATGGCAAACGGGACCGACTGCTTAACGTCCTCTCTGAGGCATTGAAACCCCTTCAATGTTTTAGGAACGGTCACCAATCCATAGACTGACCTGACTAGGATTGCTTAACTTTGCAATGTGTTAACCGACTCTGTTACCACTTACTTATCGGTTATTTTTGACAACTAATAATTTAAAAAAAACTTTTATATTTCTAAATTTCGAAATTAAATATAAATGAATTATTTGAATGTATTTAAATTTATTCAATCACAATTTTTTCTTTTCAGGACATCAGTGAAGCTACAAATATCAACAAAATGGAAAAACAATATGGAAATATCTTCTCAGAATCCGAATCACCTCGTGCAATGATATTTAAGGAGAAATTCATGAACGCCACTTCACATGACAGTATTCTAGGCCTAATGAGACAAAATAACTTAACTGAAGCAACTGGGACGGATACACCCTCGCAGGAATGCTCTAATGACATAGACTGTATCTTCCGAGAGCAAGGCTACTGGTCCGTTGTCGGCGTGAGAGGAGACATCGTTAATATACATAAAGATGCCTACGGGGTGATTGATACAAAAGTCGTAAGTGGTAAGTAGACACGTTTTTGAAGTGATAATTTCTTATGGGAGTTTAAACCGTTTCGTTACGTAACGCCTTACCCCGCTAGTCTGTCTGGCTTCCCTTTCTCTCACGCATACGGCAGGGATAGGCAGGCTTGTCCTCTCTCACTCCAACCCACAGCGCTAGCCGTATTTCAGGACAGACAGGACAGACGCTTTACATAAAATTTAAGTAATAATCTAAGCTTTTCTAAAGTTAAACCTTTTCAGTATTAAATAGTTCATTAGATTAGTTTAAGTTATCACTTCAGTCGGGCGTCCCGAGACGCACACTTTGTTTACTATAAAAACCGTTGTAATTCGATTACCTTCAAATGTTTGCCAATTTCGTCCAAGTTGCACGTCAATATTGCTATTTTATTGGAGTTAAGAAACGCTTGCCATAAAAATATTTTCTCAATTGTTATCAATATATGTGCAACTATACAATTTTCTTTTGTATGTTAAATTATCACACCGAGACACACATTTGTCTTCACGATTACTTGTATTCTGCTTTTAACATAAATTAAGTATCCGAAATAGTTATTGGTTTTAGCTATTTTAAAATAATCTTTACATGGTGTAAGTATCTATGAAAATGTTTATTTTATATAATTTTCTTTCCAGGAGTTCTGAATGAAACAACTTTGGAATTTATCGCTCTATCTGGACCAACGTATACAGAGATACAGCCAAATATGACTAGAATAGCCATGAACAAAGCAAATGTGGCTCCAATTTATACCCAACTACTTAATAATAATAGTGACGTCAATGCATTGGAACTAAGAGAACTAATAATGCAACAACGAGAGAAAGCCGAAGAAGACAAGATGGAGTTACTTAATAAAAACTCCATAAAGCCATTCAATTGGACAGAAAGTTTATTCCAGAATGTTCCGCATGTAGGTTTACCGGACAAGTGGGCCTTCGAACCTTTCTCACCTAATTGGTCGTGGTGAATCTCCAAGTCATGTCATAATTTTCATAATAATTTGATATAATTTAAGTTTAAGTCCTGGTTCATCACTACCACCTAGCTACTAAGATTTCCTGGTCGTAAAATAAATAGTTTTCTGAAAGACACCTTTACCATCTATTGAGAAATAAAGTCATGGTGAGTTTTTGTTTAGGAATCACATTAACCTCTATTCATTCATTCGTTTTGTAATTTTAGTCAATGTGTAGGTACATTAAGATTATTTATTGGATTTATGTCTGACCCATTTATAATCGTCTTTTAAGTGTTTTAGTCCAATTTGTTTGTCTAAATCAAAACTGTTGTATGTATGGAAGCCTAATTTCAGTAGTTACGTTTGAAATCTGATTGTAACGAATATTGCACAGTCTAAGAACACGATATTAACTTGACATGTATCGCAAATGGCTTAGTACTTGAACGTGTACTTATTTATTCTATTTTTACATTAGCATTTTATTTTCAATGTATAAGATTATGTTTTTGTATGTATTTGTTACCAGTTTGAAGTGATAAATCTGTATAGTGAGTGTTTAATAAAAATGAAGTGACTTATAAGTATTCGATTTTGTTTTCTTGTTAAACATCGTCGTGGTCGTCATTTTTAATGACGATTATTATTTATTACCCTTAATTATTTTCTTATTTTTTATAACCATGTAATGAATAAGATAATAATTCAGTTCAACAGTCATCCATATTAACTTGTAGGTATAAAAAGACGTGTTACGATATATTTCGAAATTCTTTAGATATGGTTATGTTTGAAAAATATGTTATTCATATTCCTCTTCTCTGACTATCCCCTCATAGTTCTGAGACAGTATGAAATGTAGTTTTATAGTTGAAATAGGTAGATCAGATATCTACTTATTTCAACTATAAAACCAAATATATTCGTCATGTAGATCAAAAACGTATAAAAAATCATCAGGCGGGTCCACCCAGAGCGCACGCGCGTATCTGCTCGGTCTGTGTGAATGTGTCTCGAGGTAAGATCTTAATATTGGAATACGTATAGGGTCGCTGCCCGGGGCTCGCCTGGTACTGGTGCTGGACGTGACAGCATACGGACCACTAGTGGCTCTGTGCTTAACAGGCGGGCGAGGGTCGGGGATCTTGAAAATAAAATGACACAGCCGATCAACGGGGAGGGCTTGGATGATGCTTTACAGAGTAGGGTTTCGCCCGTAGAATCCGTTGGCTCCACGGTTGTTTGCCAACATGTCAATGTAGTGCATCCCTCATTACACTGTTATTACACAGAATGTGTAATAACAGTGTAATGAGGTGTTTATGTTAGAGGGGGCAGACGATCAGACGGGTCACCTGATGGAAAGTGACCACCGCTGCCCATGAACGTCTGCGACTCAGGAGTCACAAACGCGTTGCCGGCCTTTTAGGAAGGAGTACGCTCTTTTCTTGAAGGTTTGCAGGTTGTATCGGTCCGGAAATACGGCAGAATAGTAAAAAGCAAAAGAGATGAATGTGTTTTTAAATTGTTTTATTTATTCTGTTCAAAGTATTGTATTACACATTTTTTATGTTGAAAGCACTCTTGAATCTTAGTTTATTTGCTACAACAAACCCAAACCCAATGAAATTTACAACAGGTTATGGGCCCAGGGCAGCTGTGAAAGGGTTTTGTTGGAAGCAAGGCCAGGAAAGTGACCGAAAAGAAGTCAAGATGAGCAGTCATCGCACAGCAAGTCAATGTTGAGTAACGTACACGCAAGTCGCTTTAAGTCAGAAAATCGCCACGAAAGTTTGTAAATTCATTTTGTTTATTTAAAAGTTGTCAGAAGTCAGTCAAATTGTAAGCAAAATGGATACTGTAAAATCTCAGTTGGAGATGCTAAGTGAAGATAGTCAGGGAAATGTCAATTTCATTTCATGGCGATTTAAACTAAACCTAGCACTAAAGAATAAAGACCTGTACGACATTGTGACAGGTGTGAAAGTCAAACCAGCAGATGCTGTGTCAGAAGGAAAGGTTTCAGCTTGGATAAAGAAAGATGTCGAAGCTCAAACATTGAAAGGTTTAAATGTAAACAGTAAGATAGCGAACAAAATTACAAACTGTAAAACTGCCAAAGACATGATGGACAAATTAGTAATTTTATATGGCACAAAGACTGATGTAACTTTAGAAACGTCTCGAATTAAATTCTTTACCTTTGAGTATGATGAAAGCAAGTCAGCAGTAGCGAATTGTATGGAGAAAGTGCTGAGGAGACTAACAACAACGAAAATGGGACACAACCGCCAGAAGAAGAGCCAGGAAGAAGAACTTTGCGAGATCGTCGAACTTTGCAACCGCCACCGAGACTGAAAGACTGCGTACTTGACTCCAGACGTGGAGGAAAGAGCGCAAAAGTAGCCATGATTGGTGAAATGGAAGACATCCCGGTGAGTGAAGCACTCAAAGATGAGAAGTGGAAACAAGCAATGCAGGAGGAGTAAGACTCGTTAATAGAAATGAAAACTTGGGAACTGGTGAACTGTCCAGAAGGAGTGACACCGATCACTTGTCGTTGGGTACTTCGACAGAAGGTAGCCAGGGCAGAGATACAAGCAGATGGTTGGGTAGCGACTTCAACTGCAGAAGCCGAGTACCGAGCCGTGGTGTCTGTGATCGACGATGTATGCTGGATCAAGAGAATCGCACTGGAACTTGGTATCTTGGAAATTGATCAGCCGATCACTCTGAAAGTCGATAACATGTCAGCTATTCACATGTTACAGAACGCACACGAAGGAAATACAACCAGAAGTAAGAAACACATTGAAATACCACGAAAGTACATCCAGCAACACTCTGGCAACACTGTGATATTGCAACACGTCGAGAGCAGCAAGCAGATTGCAGACATTCTCACTAAGCCACTCAACCGAAGAGTTTTTAAGATGCTACGTTGTAAATTGATCAAGGAGTGTTGAGAATTGATCAATTGACGAACCTCTTTTCTACAACCTCATGTGTGACAGCGTCAAAACGAAAATAGAATAGAAAAGTAAAAAGCAAAAGAGATGAATGTGTTTTTAAATTGTTTTCTTTATTCTGTTCAAAGTATTGTATTACACATTTTTTATGTTGAAAGCACTCTTGAATCTTAGTTTATTTGCTACAACAAACCCAAACCCACTGAAATTTACAACATGTACCTACACTAAGAATCCTAGGTCCAATTCGTTACTAACTTAGTAATGTAAAATTCTGCAATACACTACACGGTAGAAGCTAGGCTACACCCCACCGAAATAAAAACTTTGTGGCCCATTTTACGATAATAATATTATTGTTTCCCTTTATTTTCTTTTATTATTTTAATGAAACGACTTACTAAATAAAAACCTGTTTTCTCTTTCTGTAATTACAGAGAAACATTTCAGCGACTTCTGTGTTTATTTGTAAAAACTTTTAATGCTTTTTCTACGCAGAGAAAGTCACGATCCTTCACCTATAGTTAAACCGCCGTAAGCTTGGCCCTCCTGATGGTTTGGGGGACGCGGGGCGGGGGTGCATTCAACCAATTAGCTCGTGCGCCGCCGGCAGTGACTGACGTGAAAGCATGGCTGTACGTGTTATTTTTCTTACACGGTATTATTTTGCTACATGGATAATCTGCCGACTCTGCGTCACAAAAAGATTTAAAAACTTGAAGTTCGGCTTACAGAGGTTCTACTGTTAAAGTTCTAAAAAAGAAAATTTATTATTTTACTTAATTTTTAAATTGTATCTGAATATAATTTACATGATGAAGATAAGCTGATTTTATTAAAATTATTTAAATTATTTAATTATTAAAGTATTAAATTTTACAATTAATCATAAAAACTTACAATACACTGACATTATATCGACTCACATCGTGCGTAGATTAAATCTCAAACAAATAAATCTGAAGATATCGAGTTAGTACATCGTGTCATGTATAGCCGAGCGCATCACCAGCCCCGCGTCCCGCAAACCATCAGGAGGGCCAAGCTTACGGCGGTTTAACTATAGTACATCTCTAAGAGACAAACTGTCAAACTAATTTTTTACTGTCAAATCAACTAGTACCATCAGTATTTCAACTTCTCACTATTATAAGGAAAATACATAACGAAAAAATACAACTAGATTGCTTTAGCTACAAGGTTACTTAATGGATGAAGGTATTAAAATAAACTCCACTTTATATGGCTAGGTACTTTCTAGTATTCTGTGCTGGCAATCGAGCTCCATGAAGCCACAATTGACAGCTAATGTCAAAGGATTGAATCATTCAATGAGTCATCTAATTGTCATTTTTGTATTTTATCAGCTGTTTGTTTTGCAATTTTGTGTTTCTCACTATTATAGCTTTTAAGAAATACATTAAAGGCATCGATATTTTATCTTACTTTATTTAAAGTCATGGATTGGTTATTTGGGAAAACTCCAACTGTTAAAGGTGAGGCAAATACAATATTTACACAACACACTCTAAAGAAGACTTCTTTATAATTTTAGTACTATAATAAAATGTTTGACTTTCCATGTGTGTATATAAAAATTGAGCTGATATAGTGGAAAATACGATAAAAGGTGTAGTTTGAAAATTATGATTGTAGTTAAGTAAGTACATAATATAGAAATAGGAATGATGTGATCACTCAAGATGAGTTTATTAAAGAAAATTGTGTTACAAGGTCATAATGAATTGTTATTTTCATAGGGATTTATGTTTAGCCTTTTTACGATAAATTTAAATCTGGTATATTATATTTTAAGCTCTTTTTGCTATTTTTCTCTATACTTTTCCCTTTGTTCCTAAAACCCTAGTGTTCTAACAAATTGAAGCTGTTCCCTAATAGTTACCAAAGTATCTTTTTTTTTTTACAAATTAGTTGACAGTGCCCTTGTGCTTATGCCCCAATGAATCATGTAATACCCTATTACACACATCCTAATATCAAGAGTGTAGTGAAACTACTGTTGCATGTTCAGATACAATTTTATTATTTAGGTGCCATCCATAAATTACGTCACACGAAAAGGGGGGGGGGGTATCACCGGAATGTGACATTTGTGACAAGGAGTGGGGGAATTTTAAATATTAAAATGCATAATTTATATGTAAATAAAAAACTTTAGTAGTCGTAGGAAGTGATGTCAACAAGACTAAGTTTGCTCCATTATTACTACAGCTATCAATAAATCACCAAGCATCATCCTATTTGAAACAAGTTCCATATGACAATTATTGCCCTAGTGTCAAGTTATACATGTTTAAAAGATCATGTAGCATATGTGGTCTATATTTTTCTTCATATAAAGCTGCTAATCAACATAAGCTATAGCATAAAAAACAACAGAGTTACCCATCACAAAAATTCGTCCTCAAAGAATAGCGGCTAAATGTGCCCGAGACATTCTTTGTTTAGTGAATGATGACAATGCTTTATGAATGGAAGAATATGATGTTGACACAAAGGATGCTCCTGACATTCAAATTCAGGATGAAAATATCAGCAAAACTGAAACTGAAGATCATTGAGGCTTAAAATTAGTTCGGATAGAATAAGAATAAGTAAACAAACAAAACGATGTTATCTCAGTTACAGAGGTTAATGCATATAAAATTCACTTGTTGTCTCAGTTATAGAGGCAACTATCGATGAAATCGAAAGAACGAATCCCAGATATAGAGGTTTTGCTTCGTCCCACTAATAGAGGTAATTCAGTGCCTAAGTGTTGGGACCTCAGCATGAGTTCCAGTTATGGCGGTTTCTCACTTATCCAGGTCCCACTTAACCAAGTTTCACTGTATTATGACTCGGTCAGTGTACATTATTGGGGCCTATGAGCCTTATTTAATATTTACTGCCTAAATCACTTCTAATATGAAAATGTGTTTTAAATTTAGAACAACAGAGGCAAAATGATCGTGAGTTACGCAAAGCAGCTAGAGATATAGACAGAGATAAAGCGAATTTAGAAAGGGAAGAGAAAAAGCTGGTAAGCGATAATAAATATAAAATATGTAAGTAATCATCAACAGCCTTCAGCAGTCCACTGCTGAATAGTTTGCTCCCTTAGTCGGCTAAATGTAAGTAATATACCAAAAGAAAATTAAATGTATGTTAATAATGTTTCAATTACAGGAGTTGGAGATAAAAAAAATGGCAAAGGAAGGCAACAACGATGGATGTAAGATTTTAGCAAAGCAATTAGTTCAATTAAGAAATCAGAAAGCTAGAATGTATAACGCCAATAGTAAGGTAACACTAAAATTATATCCATACTTATATTATAGAGGTGAAAGTGTCAATTTGATTGTATTTTTTTTGTTTTTGTCACCTCTAAACTTTGGAATTTATGAACAAATCTGAAAACGAACAGATTTTTGCAAGGTTAGTTGGGTATTCAGTATAATAAGTTTACCCTAAGAAAGATAGCAATAAAATCTTTACATAAGAAGCAAAATTGATGTTTGAGTTTCTTATATTAGTGGCTAAGATAATTAGATAATATGTTATTGTATACGCGAGGATTGGTGCTGATAGCCACAATACAGGCTGTGCATAGTTTGGTTACAGATGCTCACTTCAATAATTTGTACTTAAACAATGTCAGCCTACTATAATTTGCAGCCTTTATTTAATATACAAATTTGTGAAATATACGTTATTCTTATTATAATCTAGAAACTGTTGACAGTATAAATAAAATAAACTTTTGTTCCAGATTACAAATGTGCAGATGCACAATAAAGCAATGACGTCCAACATAGCTATTGCCAATGCAATGGGTACAACTGCTCAGACCATGGGTAACATGAACAAGATAATGAACCCACACCAGATCGCCAAGGATATGGAGGCCTTCAAACAAGCTAACGCCAAAATGGATATGACTGATGAAATGAGTAAGCCTCAGTTTTTTCTAGATACAAGTTTTATTTTCTATATAATTGTCAGTAAGACTTTACACATTTTAAATTATTAATAAAAGATATGACCAATACCTATGTATGTGCATTGAATCATAGAACAAGTTGCAATGAATTTTATCACATTAGTATAGCTTTATATGTATATAGGTAAAAAAATAAATAAATAAATAAATATGTAACTTCAATCTCTAATCCTGACCACAAATTCAGATAAGTTTGTATTTCTGTATTAGACGCACTTAAAATAAATTTAATTTATATCTGATAAGATGCTTGTGTTCAAGTGCTAAGAGTAACTTAAAATATGTATTGTACCTGATGTCTGCACATGATTAATTACCAAATTAAAAATATTAACATAATATGTTATACCTACATAAAATAACTTAAATAATCACAAATCTAATAACTAGTTTCAGATACTCTGGACGACATAATGGCCGAGTCTGGCGATGAAGAAGAGTCTGAAGGCATTGTTAACAAGGTTCTCGACGAGATTGGCATCGAAATTAGTGGCAAGGTTAGAATATGCTATTTTTTACTAGTAGGTGTTAATTAGCCATCTGCTCCTAGAAGCCTGTGTAAGCCCCAGGAGGCTTCTGTGCCTATGGAAGGAGCTTGGTTAGCTCACCTAGCCAACCTTTCCTCAACTCAAACTATGTTAATTTTATAAAAAAATTAGTCGTAGATCAACACTCTCAATAGCAACACTCTTTGTTTTGTCAAATAGTGAGGAAAATAAATTGAATAAAAATTATACTTATAAAAAACCTATGATATGTCTGTGCCGATCTACAACTGCCTGTTTCCAAGGGATTGAGCCTTATGAGAAGAAGGGACTGACATACCCATGGCCACTCTTTTGCAATTTACAGATAGATACAATGGCATCATTAAATATACCATAACATTGTTCTGATGTGTGCCAGTATGTCCGTTATTAATGACTAAAAGGTAAAAAGACAAAAAAGAGTAAACAAGATTGAGAAAAAAGATCAAATAAATGAGAAAGTGAAGTTATATAAAAAAATAGAAGAAAAAATCACTAGCCTACATCACATTTCCACTTAAGAAATAGCCTGCGCTAAATTAATCCCAAGCATTTTTGTCTTTTATGTAATACACAATTGAGTAACAGGCTTCGTTATTGACGTTTGACGATTTGACTTGACGACATTGACGACGCATAAAGGACCATTGTCGAGTCGAAATACGGAAATCGGAGCCTACTACCAGTTAATCAGGCATAGAAATAATTGCATTCATTCATTCCTTTTATTTGATGAAAGTATTTTATTTCACTTGTGAAATTTAATATTATTTAATATTGTAATTAATAATAAACTTGTGACAGAAAATTTAAAGGTATTTGAGCATTTGCTATTCTTAACATAATAATGATATATATTGGTTAGTGACCCTGCTAAGCCGGAGGTCGTGAGATCCATTCACACCCAGAACAAATAATTGTGTAATGAGCAAATTGTGTCATTTGTGATCTGGGTGTAATTTATCTATAATACGTATGTATTTAGAAATATATCGGTATGTTTATTAGCGGTCTGGTCACCATAACATAGGCTCAGCCTAGTTAGGGATCATACTGCCGTGTGTGAAATGTGTTAAGTTATTATTATACTGAATTAACCGACTCCTTTGGTCTGAATTTGAAAAACTATTCCAACTCGAAGAAGAATACAGGTTATAATAATGTATTATCTTTAAGGCCCATTAAAGTTAGTTATATTTTTTTCGAGAGTTCATTTGTATTCGAACATCCCTTGAACATCATTTGTTTTTAAATTTTCAGATGGCCGACGCACCATCAGTGTCGCGTAACAAGATCGGGGCAACTACTACAGATGCGGATAAGGAGCTGATGGCACAACTAGCTAAGCTTAAGTCATAAGTATCACTTACACTCACGTCTTTAACTTTCATTTTGTTTAAACTATGTTAATATAAATATGAATTTACGAAAAGATGTTGTATAATCCATTATTTTTAATAAATCATTAGACTGATAAGTAGCAGTTTAGTTTCTCTTTATATAAAACCGGTACGTTATGTAAAAAAATGTAGGAAATGAGTTATGACGTTATACCTACCGTTGCCGAATCCAAAGAGTATATAAACACTGAATATACCAATTCATTGATTTTTGATACGTAGTTCTATTATTTAAAAATGCTATGTAACTTGAAAACAACAACAATAATAGTTTTGTACAGTGTGGTCATACTTATATTCATTGGGTGAGACACGAAACCTGCAATTTATTTGCACCATATTGTGTATAACATTGCAGTTACAAAATATCGTCTCACATAGCATTTATTGGATTGTATAATTGTAACAAAGAAATTGAAGTGCAATTATTATTACTTAGAAAGTTCACGTCTTTAATCCCCAAAACGATAGACAGAGACGATTTAAACTAACATTTTACCGTCTATAGTTACATTAACATAATTTGGCTCACATTGGCTCCAATAGTTACTATGACTAAAGGCATTATTTTATTTTGTTCCTGTTTTTCCGAAGACATTTCAAGTTGGCCATAGCAGGCCAAAACCTTTCTAAGGAGAGGCCTATGTCCTGCAATGAACTATTAAAAGCTGATGATGATGATCTGACAAAGAAAAAGTATAATATATAAGTATTTATCAGTCAATCTATTTCTGCAGCCTTGTTATAGTTTACTTAAACGTCATTATAAGATCCTCAACGGATTGTAAATAGGTAAATAGGGGCAATGATTGGTTCTAATTGTAAACAAATATTAAGTTTTCTGAAATCATGTGAGAGCCACGCTTCGGTATAAACGTGTCGTCCAGTTTTAAGCACTTCTGTAGTTGCTGCTTACGGTGAGTTTACAGGAGGCCTTCCTTCACTCAAAAAACGGCAACTCGTGCCTGATGAGTTGCAGGTTTCGATGGGTAGCATTTAAAATAAGGTGCTCATTTGCCCACTATTCTTACAAATAAGTTGTTTTTCTAATGACCTTTACAAATGCCTGTTAAGTAACTTATAGAGTTACGTATTAAGTTTTTAATATCAAAGTAACCTGCGTAAAATATGTTACATGGGAAAATGCACATCTTTTTTTAATTTCCCTTAAGTATCTTATAATACAATATCACAAGTGAATGGGTAACTTAAATGTTGTTTCAATCAAGTTTTAAGATTAAGAATTTAATATTAAGATTAGAATAAAAACAAAAAAATGTAACTACGAAAAACATTTGGTTATTTTCAATAAAAAATATGATAGTTTCTGTATTCAAGGTTATGTTATTTATAAGATACACAAATGATATACGTCCAACGTTACTTTTATGCTTTTTGACTATTGTTATATTAGATATCTAATATATTTTCTATCTTACGTACCTATAATGTGAAAATAACTAACTGTGATATATTTCTATATTATATGCTACGAAAGAACATAATGTCTTTCATTACCTTCAACTTCGTTGATGCGACAAGCCTGTTTAATGTTGTTTACGGGTGTCTTCAGTTGCTGAAAAAAAAAGCGATTGACATGGGCCGACACCTCAGATTACCACCTCGGTCCTCGTACACGACAGTACGTTCCTCTAAATAGTCTCTAGATATTGGGGTGCTTCCCTGAAGCAGCTGAATGGCAGACTATTAAATGCATTGGCGATGTCTAATAACTCCGCCAACAGCACGCGGCCACAGCTCACCGCTTCTTCGCTCACGGCCCTCAGGCCAGCATGGCACTGACTGTTGAACGCCCGGCTCGAAAACTATGGCGGACGATGCGCACAGAGAGTATCCTCTCAAACAATTTACCCGCCTTGTCCAGCAACCCGATGGGCCTGTAGGCTGCGACCGCATCTGCACACCGTCCCGGCTTCCTTAATAGGACCAGCTTCCCGCTCTTCCAGCACTCAGGGACACGTTGGGAAGCCAAGCACCTCCCTGATATCTGGGTAGATATTAGAGATTTAAAATGCGGGGGCAATGCGGCCATCACCGCGTCGTGCTGAACGTTCTGCAGCGGCAGCGGCCAGCGTGAGCGGAGTGGTCCTGCAGTATAGTCTTAACATAATAATAGTGTAATTAATCACTCCATACTGACGCTACATTAGTAATAGTAGTATCTACTTTGCAGCCGTGCGAAGCCGGGGCGGATCGGTGACTATATCTATAAAAAAAAAAAAACTGATCGACCAACGCACAACTGAAACCGCTGGGTCTAGGAGCATAAAATATGTGACGTAGGTGTGCACTAAGAAAGGATTTTTTAAATACCACTCTTAAGGGTGCAAAATGGGGGTTGGAAATTTATATTAAACTTCTTCATTTTTGGTATTAGCGTTTTCAAACTTATGGTAAATACTCATTATTAAAAGTGTTTAAAAATGTTGTTACTAATTTTTCAAAACTGCCCTTTAAAAGGAGTGCTAATTTTTATGGGAACTGAATTTTTTTAACTTATCGATTCTAAACTCTTAGTATAATTATATTCTCTATCAGAAATCATAATTATTTATTAATTAATAATAATTAAGCACCTATTTTTTTAACTTTTCAAAACTTATGTTTGTTCGCAATCACGCCAAAACCGCTTTCAGGATCTGCACGAGATTTGGCACATTGATAGATTATAGTCTAAATAAGAATATCACAGATGCTACTATTTATCCTGACCAAATTATTGATGAACTTTACATTTACGCGAGTGAAGCCGTGGGGAAAAGCTAGTTATAAATAAAGAACCGAACCAGTCACCTGCCCGTTAATAATAGGCGATGAATAAGTCCACCAATCATCACGCAATCCATAAAGTCATATGTTGAAGATTCCCTTCCTAGCTGATTTCTACCTATAATCTACGTATCTTATCATCATGGATTAAACACTCAAGAAAATGTCCGAAATATGAAAAGAAGAGACATGAAAAATGCTGCCAAGAAAATCACATTATTCCATCTATTTTTGACATTGTACCTAGTTTGTAAATTAAAACATCATGCATTCTTGAACAACCATTATTTCGTATGGTGACGGACTAAGTGTACGGGTGTCACCACCCCTATTCATCCTATGAGTTTAAACTACGCAGGAAAACAGCACTGTAAAGAGAAGGAAATCTTGACAAAAACCCTGTACCAACTCGTCCGGCCAGTGTGGTATTGTAGGCCAAAACTTCCTTTCTAAGGAGAGGCCTATGTCCAGCAGTGGACTTTAAAGGCTGTTGATGATGAAGAACATTAAGCTGCACATAAGATTGAGACCAAGCTGAACATAAGTATAATAAAAATGCACCAAAGAGCATATTAATGTAACATCTGTCACCTATGATGTTAAAGTACGCCCTTAGAGTTTCTAATGTTCGTTATGTGTACTAAAAAAAACATTTCATGACTAAGAAATGTTTCATATACCTATCGTATAGTTAATTTACTTTTAGTAACCTATCATTAGAATAGTGCCTAATGGTGGGTTTGGCGCTGACCGCATTGATATGCAAAGAGCGACGTCGTCATTTACTTTAAAATTTAATTAAATTTGACTAACTTTGTTTACATTTCGATAGCGTCAGTCCACGGTAAGGCTACCGTTAATTTACTTCACATTTTGGTCTAAAACCTTTATACACCATAAAAGTAACGTGTGTTCTGACTACGGCATGACTATACCTGACCACCTTTTTGACGAAGGCATCAATAACACATTGCTGCATCATGATATGCGACATCTTCAACAACAGAATAAAGTAGTGTACGAGAGAACGCAAAGGGAGTATGTAAGTAACTAACTCATAAAAACTATTTACATATTATTTTACGTCGGTGTGACCTAATTTTACCCAACTACTTAGTAAATGTGTTATGAAAACAAATCTGTTTAAAAACCCTTAGAACTGAAATTAATGCTCATTCAATTTGTATAAAACTAGAAGCTTGGATTTTACAGTAACCAAGCAGGCATTGTATAAACACGGTATATTTTAAATTTCATTCAATTTGAACCAGTAGTTTAAGAATTATAACATTATTAATATTTAATATTATTAAATAATAGTCAAAATTTCATAATTTTGTCTCACAGAACGATTATCAAAACTCTAAGGTACTTCTAGCAGACATAAATATAAGCTAATAATTTAGAGTGTAAAATTTAGAATACTATTAGTGGTTAGTGTATAAATCAAGGCAAACTAAAATATTTTGGAATTTTGGTCCAATTTGTATAGGATTACAAGTTACATTTACAGTTAATGAATCAGTGTACCTGTACATATATATATATATATATATATATAATAAAATGGAATAATAGGCGTAGATAGGATAATTATGTTCAAAGGTAACTTGTAAAATGGTCCACGGAATGAAAAAGACAGACAGACATGTCTTACTTACGAAGTTGTACCAAAATCTGACTAAATCGCAGGTATACACATAATTCGAGATTTGAGAAATAGATGACCGGAAATCCCAACTCCGCCAGGTCATCATAGGGGAGTGGAGGGAACGACTCGGGCAACCGAGCGCCGGGCACGCCGTCATCGCGGCGGTAAGACCCGTTATGGAGGATTGGCTCGAGAGGCGCCACGGGACCCTCTCATACCGACTGACGCAGGTGATCACTGGGAAAGGATGTTTCGGGGATCACCTGTGTCTGATCCGCAAGGAGCCAACGCCTGAGTGCCACCACTGCGATGGCCAGACCGTGTACACGGCTCTCCACACGCTGGCAGAGTGCCCGGCGTGGTTTGAGCAGAGGCGAGACCTCGTGGCGGCCATCGCAGTGGGAGTTCTCTCGTTAGATAGCCTGATTGCGGCTATCGTGCGGAGCGAGAGTGCGTGGAACTCTACCGTCTCCTTCTGCGAGCAACTTGCGAGACGGCGGAGCGGGACCGGGATAGGTTTAGGACTCTCCCGGCCCGCCAGGCCCGGGAACGGGCCAGGTACCGCCGGCGACTCAGGCGCCGGAGGTCGCAGAACGACCTCCGTTCACCATAAGCGCAGGCCTGGGGGTGACAGGTGAGGCCATCTGGTTCCCACACGGGGGAGGGGGGGGGGGGTCGTCTACTCGTCTGTAGATGGCCCGAGGTATGTCGGGGCACCAGGGACTTCCTTTCTAGGGTATACCTGGTTCCCCGGCTATTAGTACCCGAGACGGCGTGCGGTTTTAGTCGGTTCGAGTCCGACATGCCACCGATAGGTGGTATCCGAGGGGATTTCCGCACGAAAAAAAAAAGGTATACACATATCCACGTATCTTACGCACATTGTATCAGTCAGTATGAGTATAAAAATTTCAACAATCTCTATATAAATCTAATTCTATAGAGAAATAATGGGTTAAGTAATTTATTCATTTAAATAAACTTTTAGTGCATTTTGCGTGTGCTTATTCTAACTTTTATTTCATTTGCATCATTTGACCTTCTACATGCAACTTTTTACAATTAGAAACTGTGTTGTTAATTTCAAAAGTTAGCGAAACAATCCAGCGCAATATTTTTCGATTTAGAAATTTCTCACTCGATTTTTTATTAGGGATTTAAAATAAAATCTGTTTCTTCCAGGGTTAATTTTCTTTAGGTTTTTCTTTTTCCTTTCTTAAGTTTTGATAAAATTATACAAGTATATGAACAAGAAACCGTAAGTTAATTGTAACTCATATTACAGTTTTTGGTTCGAAAATGTATTTCATCCTTCAAGGAGGAAAACTTTATAGCCATGATACCAATAAAAAATATTGAAATGTAGACTACTGTATAACTTATAAAAACATTGGACTATATAACTTACATAAATATAATGTGAGTTGTTACAATTATTTGCCTGTTTCTTCTTGAGTATTTTTCTTTCCTTCTCACTTAATTGCAGTAAATAAAGACATAGAAAATTGTCGGAGATGTGTTTAGCAACATTTACATGGAGATTACTTAAGTAATTAAACTAATTCCATTGTTCGATTTTCTAGGAACAAGAACAACGTGACATGCTGTCATCTCAAGATGGTGATACCTGTGAAATTCATGACCAGTTCTATAGAGACCATAAATTACTTTTAGTGCTTTTTCGAGCACTCGCAGTCATGCCCATAACACGCTCGCGCCCAGGTATTAAAATAAGGTCATAGAATGCCATAATAAATATGTGGGAGATAGGGATTTTGTAATGCCTATTATTGTCTAAAGTCTCATTGTATGTGTTTTAACGTTTAATAATTCTGAAGTGACCATTGTCTATCAATTATATATCGCCCTTCTCTCTGGCTACCGTGCAGTTCACAGCTTATTCAATTTGCTTCCAAAAATTAGTCAAAATATAGTGCAAAGTAAATTTAGTGGCAAACATTTTCAGGAAAAGTGTTAAGTAAATTTTATCCTCAAAGTTTTCAACAGTGCCTGTTACTAAAATACTGATACTATAAATAATTAAACAATAACTTTATAATCATCAGAATAATATACCGTCAACAAGTGCCATTTTATAACTACGCGTAAGCGAATATTTAGGCCCTGATTAACCCCTGCACTTTTGCGTTGCATTAGAAACAGGGACAAGCTTCATGAGAAATCTAAAAAGAACCCGGACAATGACACCCTTGACACAACTTATAATCGTTACCTCAATTTTTGTAATTCTTTGCAGAGAAGGCTTAAGAGATATTACGAAAGATCTCTGCTGGTCAGTGCGAAAACTAGGAAAGACTCTTGGAATGCCATAAAATTAATAATTAATTATAGTAATCCCAAGGCTACGGCCGAGGACTTGCTGCATTCCTATGAAAATATGGAAACGGATTTAGAGCATATTAACAAATATTTCTCTAACATAAACAGTTGGCAGATGCGGTCGTCACTTCTGCTGAGTTCAGTTCTGTCTCATAAAAAATTGACATACCTAGTAAACTAAATAGCATGGTCATTCTTCTTCCGAATGAGGCATAGCTAGAATCATGAATAATGGACCTTAAAAACAAATCTGCTACTGGTTGGGACATAATACCTGGGCAATTACTTAAATTATCTGAACACATCATCAATCATCATCAACAGCCTATACTAGTCCACTGCTGGACATAGGCCTCTCCTTAGAAAGGAGGTTTTGGCCTACTATACCACGCTGGCCAGACGGGTTGGTATAGGGTTTGTTTCAAGTTTTCCTTCTCTTTGCAGTGGTGTTGTCCTGCTTAGTTTGCTCCCTTAGTCGGCTCTTACGACACCCCACGGGATGAATTGGGGTGGTGACAATTTGTATTCTTAATCCGTCACCAGACGGATACTGAACACGTAATAATAGGGATTATTATGTGTTCAGATAACTTAACTAAAGTTTTAACATCACTATCCAAAATTTCCCTCATGCACTTTCTTAAACTGAGTAGTTTTTTCCCTTAGTCAACTCTTACGACACCCACGGGATGAATAGGGATGGTGACACTCTGTATTCTTAATCCGTCACCACACGGTTCCGGTTCGGTTCGGTTAAACCTATCCTTACTAAAATAATACTATAAATGCAGAAGAAACTTTGTTAAAGCAGAAGAGAACATAGGTTAGATAGAATTATTGTATTTATATATCGATAAGATTAACAGTAAAAATTTCACAAACATTTCAGGCACCATCACTTTTAGTTGGAAATCCTCAGCTACTATATACGCGATCTGCTTCTACATTTTGGCAACAGCTGTAGTCCTGGTGGTGGGATATGAACGTCTTATGATATTGAGATCTATCAGACGCTTTGATGACTACATTTATGCTATTATTTTTGTAATATTCCTCGTCCCACATTTCTGGATACCATTTGTTGGATGGGGCGTTGCTCATCAAGTTGCTATTTATAAAACAAACTGGGGGAAATTTCAGGTAAGTATTGCAACTGTGACTTGTAAAAACTATCTAGTATAGTTCAAAATGCTACGGTCACGTGGTGCGGCCTTATAGTTCGATCGATCTGTTACACGTGTTGACCGAATATAGTTTTAAAAAGAAAGATTGGACCTTTTAATAAATTTATTAAAATAAATTGAAATTAGTACACTGATTAAATATGAATATTGAGTCGAACCGAGCGACAAGGAGGTCTGAAGAGAACTTAGGTGCAGGTGTGGCTGAAGTCATGGGAAGCTTTAAATATGCTGACTGGGATTAATGAAAGGACTAGGTAAGCAAGTTTCCTAGGGTTGTCCAGCGTAACAGATCGAGCCAAGACAAAAATTATTTTAAGTGGGATTGAAAATATTAAAAAATCGAATTAATCGATACAAAGGTACAGATCAGCACACATGTTTATATTAATTACGAGAAGAGTTTTGTTTGAGGTTATATTATTTCAAACAGTATATTTATACCTGTGTCTTTTAAGGTTTCTCTAGTCTTAATAAGGAATCTTTAGGTTGTGATATTTTATAAGCATTGAGTGACGATGAAGCCTATTATTCGATTGGACGATCCCCTTTGCGTAATATTAACCCTAAAAGTGCATTGCTGAAGTTAAACTTGGTGTTGAAGTTTCAAAAGAACAATTATTTATTTATTTTATTTGTTTAATTATTTTTGCACAAACAACAATTTATTGTACAATGGCTGACTTAATGCCATGCAGGCATTTTCTCCCAGTCTACTTTTAGGTGGTTGGGAAATGTCTGAGTAATTATGGCGATAGTATTAATCTAACTTAAAATAGTCGCTGGCAACTTATAAGCGGGTGTCCATTAATTACGTGAGGGGTTTTCGGCGATTTTTGAACCTGACTTTCTGACCCCTACCGCCCTGGTGAGATGTTATGAGATTTGATTCAACCCCATCCCCCAATTTCACGTGAGATATTTAAAAATATGTTTTTTAAATATCTCACTGGATCTCACTCACTGGACTAGATCAGACTAGTATTTAGGATTGCTTCGAAAGTAGGCCAGTAAATATTATTGTATAAGATTTGGCCATATTTCCTGTACAGGTACTAGTACTAGAACTAGGTACATGTTTTACTTAATTTAACTCAGTTAATTTTATTATGTTTCTTGCGGATAAAAAATTACGTGATATTTGCCGAGACCCTCTCCCCAAAGTAAGTTAAGATTTGGCTCGACCCCCGTAATTAATGAACGCCCCCTAAAAATAATCTACTAGGAGAATTTTGTGTATTACAAAAATCTCACAAAAATTACTTAAATGAAGTTGCTACTTATTTAAAACGGTAGTATAAAACTACGACAATCTATACTGCGCGTTGCCCGGCACATGCTCGTGCGCTTTTTATAGTACAAATAGAATTCAAATTTAGCAAAGAACGAAGCCTTTTAGAAGTAGGTTTTTTCACATTAAATTAGGGGCAAAATATCACAAGTATATTATGCAGCTGCATACACCATCGCTGTCGCAATCTGCAAGCACTGACATCTCTTTTTACGTTTCTTAACTCTCCATCGTCACCATCTTTCCTAACTTTCATTTCCTGTTCTTAAATCATGATAGATATCTTCGTCCACAAAATAATCTGCTTCTCTTACGCTTCTGATTCTTTTTCTGTAAGTCTAGGAATGTCCATCAAGATGTTCACAAACGGTTAATACACTTGAGAAGAGAGTTATAAATATTTATACGTAAATGCTTACTTAAAATTAATTTTTTTAGGTGCGCTATTACCGGGTCACTGGTGAAAATCTCAAATTTCCAAACTTGAAGACCACAATCGTTATTATCAGTGTGGGTTGTTTGCTTCTCGCCGTTGGTTTCTTATTGAGCTTGTGCGCATTACTCGACGGATTTCTATTGATACACACAACGGCCTACTACCATATCATAACTATGATTAATATGAATTGCGCTCTTTGGTATATCAATTGCAGAGGGATTAAAATCGCTTCTCAAAGTCTATCCAATTGCTTCCGCAGGGTAAAACAGTTTTCTTACATTTTTATATTATCTTTTTAACATTAAATGACAGATTCGATTAAGCTAAATAAATATTCTTCAACTTATACACAGGGATGAAAATCATTCTTTATTTTTATGATTATTACCTGGCAAACAAGAATATATCTCAAGATGATAGCTATTTCATTTTTATTACTATAAATCGAACAATATCAGAGGAAATTTCAATATAACCTGGTTTATATTTTTCACAGGACGTGGAAATTGAATGCTCAGCAAAGTTAATATCTCGATATCGCTACTTGTGGCTCAACCTGTCGGAGCAATTGCAAGCATTGGGGAATGCTTATGCACGAACCTATTCTACATATTGTTTGTTTATGTATGTTTTTAAGCTTTGTTTATAAATACGAAATTAACAAGTGTAATTAATAAATATCTGATGAAACTTAGCCAAGTAAATACGAAGCATTGATAAAAATAAGAATCTGAACTCCATAACCAAAATTGCCAAAGTTTGAAAAGAAATCTCCTTATTAGCATCCATATTTCCATACTTATTTTATAAATGTGTAAGTGAGTTTGTTTATTGTTACGCTTAACCACTAAAGTGATATTAAAAATTCTTTCACCTATGGAAAGCTACTTTTTACCGCGATAACTGACATACTGTACATACGACGAAAGCTAAAAAGTGATATATCTAAGCTTAAAAGTAATTAGTCACTAAATTCATAATTAAAAAAAAAACTTCAAAAGTTGTTAACAATGAAGCTCACAACAGCCTTTTAAGAAACAAGTAACTGTTGTTAATTTATAAATTAATGTTATTTAACTCACTCGTTGAACTAAACAACAAGTCTTTCTATATTAAATGTATGTTGAAGATTATATAAATGTACCTTAAATTAAATTATTAAATATTTTGACCTTTAAATGTGCTACTTTGGTATAATAATAATATAAAATTTGACATCTATACCGATCATGCTATCAGAAAACTGTAAAGGTTTCGAATTAAATAATTATTTCTCTCATTTGTTGGATTGGATTGGATTGGATTTGCAAGCATAATTTTTTTTTCTGTAACTTTGTAGGTTCGCCAACATAACAATAGCAGTATACGGAGCTCTATCAGAAATAGTGGATCACGGTTTCAAATTCAGTTTTAAAGAGGTTGGACTGGTGGTGGATGCTGCCTATTGTTGCACTTTACTGTTTATATTTGTAGACTGCTCGCATAAGTCTACATTGAAGGTAAAACAGTAGTTTACAACATGCCAACACATTTATTATTATTCATCAACAGCCTTTAACAGTCCACTGCTGGACATAGGCCTCTCCTTAGAAAGGAGGTTTTGGGCTACTATACCACGCTGGCCAGACGGGTTGGTATAGGATTTGTTTCAAGTTTGCCTTCTCTTTGCAGTGCTGTTGTCCTGCGTAGTTTGCTCTCTTAGTCGTCTCTTACGACACCCACGGGGTGAATGGGGGTGGTTACAATCCGTATCCTTAATCCGTCACCCATCACACGTCACACACACCAAACTCAGTTTTATGAACAAATGTTTCTTATTTGTAATCCTTGATTGTATAAGCATAATATCAATGTTCTGGTTGGAGTAGTAATGTACATATAAGTTCATCCTGTCTCAGGCAGTTCAGCACCTTTATACTTATCTTACATATTATTATTATACGTTAACTTTACTTTTATTTTTGTAAAATGCGTTGCGCACAAAATTGAGAACAAACTATTATTATTACTGCAGCTATTATAAAGATTAAAATCTTAATGGCAGCTAATGACGACAAAAGACCTAAACAACAAAATTCCATTCACTGTACTGTAGGTATACCTACACGTTTATGGTTCATTTATCAACCGTGGCGGTTAATTGTGGTAATTATATACAAATGTATTTGCTCATTGTCGTTTAAACAATGCGTAATTGGATAGAACTAAACCGAGGATTTATGGCACAAAAAATTTATGATGATAGAATTTGTTCTGGATAGATTTGTACGCTCTGCGTTTATAAAAACCGTTGTCCAAGGCAATCTTTATGTAAAATACTAATGACATCATAGCGAGTGTATTATAGGAGTGTGTGGATTGATACTAAAGAGGTTTTTATGTCACAGTTTTTTATCTGTTACAGGTTGCTGCTGGTGTTCAGGACACTTTGCTATCTATCGATGTTCTCTCAGTGGATAGACCTACACAAAAAGAGGTTGTATACCCATTTACGGATTGAAACCGTTACCTTAATAGATTAATGTTAACTTTCATATTGAAGACAGCGCGATGTAATTAGAATAGTACTAGTAATTAGTATAGGAAACTTGAGATATTGGAGGCGGGTAATATGAATTCTACGTTTCAAAATGACTACAGATTTTATAGGTACTTTAGTGTCAGTGTATTTTGTGTTGTTTTCCTTTGAACCCTTGTTTCTATATTTTTTAGTTATTGATTATTTGATTTATTTTTAATATTTCATCTATCTCCCCAAATGATGTAATCTGTGATCTTTTCGCTGAATCGTATAATATGTACCAATCTATCATCTAAATCCATAACTTAGCAGAGCGGCACTGTTCCTATACATTATCGGTACCTACTGTAATCCTAAATCGTATCCGTTAAAAATATTTTGCAGATCGACCACTTCATTCAAGCTATTGAAATGAACCCCGCTGTTGTCAGTTTAAAAGGGTACGCCCACGTCAATAGGGAATTGCTGACATCGGTAAGTGCTCTCTAATTACATTTCTGAATATCAGTTTACAGTAAATTACCAAGACGCCTAAGTCGACAACATCCGGTTTCGTCAAAGATGAACTCATGAGAAAAAATCCTTCTTAAACTTTTAACTTATTACTATAACAGAAGACACAAGGACCTCGCCTCGTCTCATGCTTACAATTGTTCTACTTTCTAAAAAGCATCTGCAAGTTTTTCGAGAGCCTTTACATAGACCGGTATAAAGGATGGCTTAGCGGCCCACTGCGCAATGATGTCATGGGTTAAAAGCAAATATAAATTTATGGCAGAAATACAATTCAAAATCAAAACACACAGTCAAATAACATAAGTTTTGTCGTTAATCATCCAACAGCTTCAAAATGTATTAAAAAAAACCCTTCGTTATTTAATTTGATGTTATCTTCCTTTATAATTTACCCCCGATTCCAATTCAATTAAAATTGACTGTCAGAATCAAAATTTGTGTCTTTTTTATTGAATTACCCAAAGACCTTTTATATTGTAAAAGAATAAATTACAACGTTTGCATTACGGATTATTTAATCTTCGAGAGTGTTTATATGACAGCATTTTGTGGAATCTGACTTCTTTTCTTGGTAAAAAAGATATTAAGCGGTGCTCGGTGTATTAATGATATGTGATTGACCACCATCATCGACAGCCTCTACTAGTAGGCCATAGGCTAGTAGAACATAGGCCTCTTCTTAGAAAGGAGATTTGTGCCAGACGTGTTGGTATATTGTTTGCTTCAAGTGTTCCTTCTTTTTGTCCGTTTCATGTATCTTGGTGACGTCCCCCGCAACACAGGATATATTCCTAATGCGCATTGTCTTTTAAGAGAAAAGAGAAAAATAAAATATAAGGACCTAGCAAAATAATAATTATTATATCACTAAAAGACGATTTATAGAAAATGTTATATGGATATATTGGAGATTGAAAAGGGTTATTTTAAATCTAAATATGACTAACGATGATAAAATAAAAAGGTTATCTTAGGGCTCCAAAGCAAATTACGTTTTCTTTTTCTAAGGTTTACTATGACTAAGGTTGATTTACTAGGACTAAGCCGCTATTCTTTATTGAAAATATTGAAACAAAATGGTTACCGGCTTTTTTGCTCCGAAACCTCGCACGAAGATTTTCACGAGCTAATGTGTTTTTGGAGACAGTAATCATCCGTATCACAAATATTATTTATAAAAGTGACTAATAAAAATAGAAGCCAGTGTATTAAGTTTCTTTTTTAAGTAGTTTTGGATAAAACCTTCTAACTTTTTTGTTCATCGAGTAAGTTCAAATAGTTGGTAACTTATGAATATTTTTGAAAATGACATTCATTAAGAAGTAATTATGTATATTTTACGCAAAGATTCTAAATGAACCCTCTTATGTATTCACTTACCACAAACGGCCTTATTTTCTTATTGCGTCAAGTACACTTTCTAAAACTTTATTTTTTCACAGCCTCTAGGGACCACTGCGGAAAATTGTGGGTATTGGATACGTCCACGGGTACCTAAAATAAAAGGGTTTTTAAGGACAGATAGACAGATGGACAACAAAGTGATGAGCGTCAATATTTTTTTCTAAGAGTTACAGAATGCTCAAAACGTAGTAAAACATTTAGGGTTTTACATAACTTTATTAAATACTATAGTAGCAATTATATCTTCTTAAATATTTATAGAATGTTACATAGCCAATTACTTTAATGCCTAAGCTGATAACAATTTAGTATACCTAATAAAATAATAGATTTGTAGTGTACATCTGCTTAAATCTGTTAATATTTTATTTTCAGGCCATAAGCATGATAGCTATCTACTTGATCGTTTTGCTCCAGTTCAAAATATCTCTACCCAAGGACCCTCAAATAAAAGGTGCATAAATCAGTATCATATTACGAGTCTTGATTTGGCAACAGTTTAATTGCTGGGATACAGGCCCTACCATGGATAGGGTTTGTATTGGCCCAAGCATTATACAAGATGGCTTTGAATATCTTTAAACACACGACTCGAAGAGGTCTTACATCCACAAAATATGTAGCTGCACCAATAGAAAATAAACTTATTAATTAAATCATATGTTTTTTTAACAAATAAATTAGTTAGATTTTATTTTGCGTTTTTGTAAAGTATTTCTTTATTAATACTGTGAATGAGGGTTTGTTTGTTAACGTTTTAACGACACATCTTACACACACACGTAGCGAAAAGGACACACCGTATATTTTACCCACAATTGAGTCGTCCCCACTTCCCTGAGGAATATTTAATTGATTGACGAAATTTATATTGACGTGAGCGTAGCTGCCAAGAAAGAAATACAAATAAAATTAAACCGTGAATACGATAGGCTATTGACAGTTTTTTAAGGAAACTAAGACAATAATTTAATAAATAAAACAAAAAACCGCACTGCGGTAAAAATATTAATTGAAATACTCGTGATAGCTAGTTTGGTAAAATGGGGGATTTTACCAAACTAGCTATCTATCAGTGTAATGTCTAAATAAAAGTGTAATGTAATGTCTAATCAATTAGTGTAATGAGAGGTAGGTACGTAATATGTGCATGGGTATGCATACGTATGTATGTATGCATGTATTATATACTTACTAATCCGAGAGTCGGGTAAAAAAAGATTTCTTTCTAGAAATGTGAATTATTAACTACAAATGTCCTTGAAACATTTCACTCGCATCTGTATGCCCTCGTAGACGTTTTGAGATCCCAACTGGGAACGCGTCAATGCCGCACTGTCACTGGATGTCCTCCATAATCAATTTGGAGATGTTGTGACAGCTACAATGAAAATTCATTAATCAACTTTTCCAATTTTCAAGCAAATCTAGTTCTGTTATCAATAAGTTTAACGAAAAACCCTCCTCAACTGGATTCTGATGTAAATTTCCTACTCAAACCGCCTACGATAATTGAAAAGTTTGTGCATTTAAAAAAAAATATTTCTATGTGGATTGGTTAAAAAACTAACAATTAAAATCTATATTTGAAATAGCGATATAAGTGTTTGTGTGTTTGTGTTTTTAAAAGACAACTCCCGCATTAGGACAATATCCTGTGTCGCGGGTAATCTTACAAACATACATGAAACGGACACAAAGAACACCCAGACTCAGAACAACAATTTGTGGATCACACAAAGTGTCGTCCCATGTGGGATTTGAACCCACAAAACTCAGCACAGCAGGAAGCGTCGAGGTGATCGCTTAAACCACTACGCCATCCGTGCAGTCAAATATAATATCACATATATTAAATATAACATGAAGTAAATATGTAAAACATGGGCAACCAAAATATCACTGAACATAACAAACAAAGTCAAACGGGCCCACATAATATACAAAAGTTCCCTTAAACATATAACATTAGAATTACAGAAGACGTATACTATGCTAATATATTTACTCAGCCGATTTTTGTGACGCAGCCCATAAAGTGGATAAATTAGTTTGTATGGAGAATATCCGAGTTGGATGAGCAAAATGGAATAATATTTGTTTATTATTGACAATGAATATATAACTCTATATAATGTAGCTAGACAATACATTAGAGTGCTATTAATAAGTACTTTTAGATAGGAAAAATAAATTTTATGAGAGGATATCTCATGTGGACAGATTTTGTTATCATTGGTCATTTTAAATGATTTTTACCCATAAAAGAAAACCAATTTATGTGTTACTTATGAGATTTAAAAATAATTGATGTCACAAGGATAAAGTGTATTCTTGTAAAGTTTCATCAACACAGGCATATATTAGTGCTAATCTAACGATAAAATCAACGTTTCATAAGTTTAATTAACCTCGGACCGTCCACCCACCCGGATCTGCGGCGCGGGACGGTGTGTCGGAATCGAATCGACTAAAACCACACGGTGTTCTACACTGCGCCTGAAATAGGAGGGATCCGGGAACAGCTGTTATTAAGAAATCCAGACCTCCACCAGCACCTGTCCGTAATTAGCGAGGATACCACCTCGGGTTAGGCCAAAGCTGATTGTCTCTTAAGCTCCTTCTCTACATAAAAAATTAGGTTGCTAGCCATCATTACCCATCTGCGATAGTACCTATTTGCCATTATAGTACAGTGCAGCACAGCTGTCATTTACGTTAGATTTTACTTCTACTACTAATAGCTTTCTTGCAAAGACATGCATGGCTTTGGGTGAGTTACGCCATATTTTCTTCAAAGGTAAATAATTCTTCTACCGAAGGATTATTTGGTATGATATGATACTTTATATTCAACCCCGTCATGAATATTTTGTTTCAACTTTCAGACTTATCGATACTCTGTCTATATAATGTATAAAGTATTAAATGTCATATTGAAACCTTTAGAGAATGTCAACAATGAAATGGTTTACTTATGTGAAACATTTTAAAGCGCCTATCCTGAATGAATATTATTTAAAGAGAATAAAATTAAAATATTCATTTCCATATTCATTTGTTCATGAGTTCAGTCAGTCAATAAAATAAACATTATTATGAAAATACAAAAGCTTTACAACATGTAGGTGACCTAAATTTTATGGAATGCCTCTGAGAATCGTCGGCATACAGTTGTCGTTTATCAGCTGTATAAATTAAATTTGGACTTGTCAATATGCTTCTGAAATTAGTACTCAAAGTGTACCTAGAATAAAAATGTAAGTACGTGATATATAACGTAGAGAAATAATCTCTGACGTTATTTGTGTGGTACTGCTACATTTATTATTGGAGGTGTATACTTTTTTTTTCTGTGCGGAAATCCCCTCGGATACCACCAACCTGTGGTGGCTATGTCGGACTTGAACCGACTAAAAACCGCACGCCGTCTCAGGTACCAGTAGCCTGTATAATAGGTGTATACATATCTCTAAATCAAAATAACGATATAAATTTGTCATATTTTAATTATTTACAATCTATGTTATTAAACTCAAATAACAGTTCAATTTACTTACTTATTTTTAATTTTCCGTCGTAAAATTTGTGTTGTAAATGTAATTATATGATACCAATAATATCTAGTGATACGCATGTAAGCAACTTAATGTCGCTGCTTAGGCTCTTCCAAATTAATAGTTTTATAATAAAAACATTAGGATATTGGATTTAGTATTAACTAATGACTTAATTGGTAGGGATAGATGAACCATACCACTTTCTGTGTAACTTTACCATGCTGAATTATTGGTAGGTCCTTTGAAAGAAAACAATACTCTAAATACTGTTTTAATAAAGGAGATTATACAGTCATTAATGAAGAACTTTTAAATACAGACTAGGACAATATTTTATATAAAAAGTCTATTGAAGAAACAGTATCGACATTCTATGATATTGGTTATAAGATTATAAGTAGGAATATCTCCCTTAAAACTGTTAACACTGACAGATATCCTGTTTGGTTCAATTTTAATCTTATTAAGTTGTATAAAAATAAAAATAAGACTTGGATCAAACGGACAAAAGTTAAGAATATCTTAGATTATGAATCGATGTCATTATATAGGTTAAAGTTTAAGAAAGAGTCTGAAATATGTCACAAGTATAGATTTAGTTGAAGAAAATCTGAAAAAGAATACAAAATATTTTAGGACATATATAGGTGCAGATATACCAAATAGTGTGGTATATCAAGATAGTGTATCTACAGACCCTTACGATGTTTGTAATAAGTTCTCATTTTTTTTCAAGTCGGTATTTGAACGTTCGGATGTCACTGATAAGTTTGACATATCAGACATTGGCATTGATGACTCGAACTATAATAATGATATATTAATTAACAATGTTACTTTTCCCCTGACGATATACGTAAAGAAATACTTAAGTTAGAAGTTACTATTGCCTCAGGAACAGACAAAGTTCCTGCATATTTCTTGAAGGCGACTGCTGATATAATGTGCAAACCACTTCACTTTTTTTTTTAACAGATGACTTCAGGAAAGGGAATTTCCAATAATTTGGAAATCAGCACCTACAGTTCCCGTTTATAAATCTGGTTTCGAAAGGGATGAGAATTATCGCCCCATTTGGATTCTGTCGGCTTTGTCGAAACTTTTCGATAGACTCATGCACAACTCCATTTTGCATCCGGTTATTATACTACAGCAATACAGATTCGTTTAACGCAGATCAACTATGAGTAATTTAGTTGCGTATACATCTCATATCTTTAAAAACATGAATTATAATGTACAAACTGATAGTGTGTGTACTGATTTTGAAAGAGTTGACCATAAATTATTACTAGAAATTTTTTACATTTAATGGAATAAGAGGAAATCTCTGGCGATGGTTCAAATCATATATATCAGATCGCACACAAAAAGTTGTCATCAAATGATCAGATTGTGTCATAGTGAGGCCTATTTTGGGACCCTTACTGTTTATCTTGTACATTAACGATATTAATACATCTTTCAAGTACTGTGTCTTCTTACTCTAAGCTGTTGATCTAAAAGTATACCATAATTTCAAAAGTGGTAAAGATCAAATTAATTTTCAAAGTGAATTCATCGCCTTACCAGTTACTGTGAAAGGAATAAGATATGTCTTAGCATTAGTAAATGTAAAACGATAACGTTCTTGAAAAAATGAAATATATTCTCCTCATACTCCACTATGTAACACTAATTTCGAAAAAGTATGGTCTATTAGGGATCTTGTTGTAACATTGGATAGTAAGCTGTAGTTAGATTAACATATCGAAAACATAGTTAATAAATCATATAAAATGTGTGGCTTTGTAATGAGCTACGGTTTAGATTTAAAACAAGTTTCCAAATTTTTTTATCTTTATAAGACACTCGTTCGTTTTCAACTCGAATATGAAATTTAAGTGTACAATCCTTTATATA